ATGCTGGCTGGGGAATTCTGGGAGTTGAAGTCCACACGTCTTAAAGCATGCTGGCTGGGGAATTCTGGGAGTTGAAGTCCCCACAGCTTAAAGCGGCCAAGGTTGAGAAACACTGCTCTACCTATTTGAGCCCATCATGCAAGAACAGAGAAAAGAAGGTTTCTGATACAGCAACAACAAGCTGGTAGGTGATTTGCTAAATGGTTATTTATTCACAGGTGGGTTGTTAAGAGTGTCTTATGCCTGGGACGTGAGCTTTCTGAAGTTGACTAGGCTCAGAGAGTGACTGGACCAAGCCGATGAGTTTCCACGGCTGAGGAAGATGTCCCACTCCAATACTTGGATGGCTCCACCGCCTCACCTTTGAATTAAGTAGCATTTTCAAAAGAAAAACAGGTGGAGCAGACATCACACTGCCCACCTCTGATTTAGGACTTCTGCAAACGGCCGTTGATTTAATAAACCACGGTTAGAAATGGCTTAGTGAGACGTGCAAGCCTAGCCCATAATAAAGCTCACCTTCCTGGCCATAATGAGTCCCGAAGGCTTGTGCGAGACTTTGAAGACCACGCCACCATTGCCTGCGCCCAGTTCGCTGATCTTCTCAAAGTCGTCGTCCTTCAGTTCCCCCACTTTTTGCTTCTGGGTCAAAAAGGCCTCCAGGCGTTTCCGCTGCTGCTCATCAAGTTCCAACTCTTCCAGTTTTTTCTGCAGGGCTTCCAAATTGGTCCTGTGGGCCCAGGTGAGAGAAAGGAGAGACCCCTGTTAACGATGGAGCAGCCAAGACTCCAGACATGCTGTTCTCCCTCAAGTCACAGGAAACTTGCAAGTAAGAAAAGAAGACGTTGATGCCCACCAGAGCAAGCGACTTTGCTGTTTCTGCTGCCGCCCACTCACACTTGCTATTATTTATGGCCTTTGTATCCTGCCCTTGGTCTGAAGGCTCCAGGGGGCTCTACTCAGGGGTCTCTCCTACTTTTATCCCCCACTATCCTGTGAGTAAATTGGGCTGCAAGACAGCGTGGCCCCAAGGCACGCCTGGGACTCTACAACCAACTAAGAACTTGAATGTGGGGGGACCTTCCAAACCATGTCCAGCAAGTAAAGCTTCATTATACTGAAGTTCTTGTTATAGAAGCCAAGTAATTCCTAAGGGGTTACTTCTGTCGATACAAAAGTGTTTTTGGATAGGATATCCCAAATTATTAAACATTTTATCTCTCTCCTTAAGGTTACAAATGTTTGTAAACACTTTCAAATTCTGCCCTTTTTTCATTCTGTGTATTTTCTGGATTTGCTTATTCTTCTGTTGATTCATGTATGTTAAAAATATATCGCATTTAAAAACAAAACCGCCGTTCTGAACTCGCATGGGCTGCTTCCTGCAAACCCCAGTTGTTCCAAAACTATTCTGCAGTTTTCTGTTTTCCTGAATTTATTCCAGTTCTGCCAATGGTTGGGAGGGAAAAGGCACCCTTTCGCCAGCTAGACAGCTAAAATGTTCTTTATCCTCTGCACAAACCTGGGATTTCAAGATGTGCTCAACCGCTGCTTACAACCACGAGGCAGCAACTCCCCCCTGCCCCCCACCCAGGATAACGGTGAGCGACCAGGAATTTGAAATTTATCAGGAATTGCAACTCAGTATTTTAAACTCAGTGTTTTAATAAAGGTGCCCACCTTTCACTGGCCCACCTGGCTTTTTGCAAAGGTTCTTTTAACAAAAAATAGGAAGCCAACACATGAAAAGGAAAACACCAGTCT